ACTAAAATACATCTTAGTTACTAAGCTTGATGAATTATAGTGGAATTCTATGGTATTGATGTTGTAATTTATGATTTTTTTAGTTATTCAAATGCATATATATAATCTATAAAAAATATTTTGTTTCATATCCTCCACGTGCAAAATCTTTAAAGGCTTAGCACCCTACATCAAACAGCAATCGAGTACAAAGGTCGTAACTAGAAGAGACAATTGTTTGCTTTACTTCTTTATTTACTGTTCTTTGTTTTAGGAAAAATAAGTTTAAGAACTTATTTCAAAAATAGCAATAATATATATACTAAAATAATGTAGTCTACTAAACCACAGCCAAGACAAGTTACCAAAGGTCAGTTTTATATTATTTGATAAGGTAACATGAGTGCACGTGAGCCACACCATTGTAACTTCTATACTGTTAGCCAGACATGGCTGAAAGGTCAATATAGTAAAAAGAATAAATATATAATGTTATGAGATTTAAGCTATTTAGTCTAAACATTTATGGTTTCATGTTATAATTTGTGTTCATTTTTGAATGGAAGAGGCATAATTTATATTTATTTCCTAATTTTTTATAGTGGCTGCAAGATCAGTCAAATCTGCCAAACCCATACAGAGATTAATTACTGAAAATAACAGATAAAATATAAAATTTTTCTTAAGAAACATTTGATAAGTATCTCGACATTATAAAGATTTTGCATTTGAAATTTGAAAATTTTATGATACTTAAAAGTATTTTTAATCTTAAAATGAACATTACTTTGCACGATAGATAGGCAACATGTAAAAGTAAAAAATAGACATGAGAAAACATTGCTTTATAAACCTTAAGACTTAATAAAAAGATATGATATTTTGCACATGAAAACATTGTAATGTTTACTGATAATCAGCCTTCATGGGAGCTTCTGATTCTCTTATTTTTTCTGTGGGATTGGATTTGTGATAAGTCTGAAGAATAGGTTGGCTTTAAACTAGGTGCTTTTATTCACTTTATTTGCCTTTGTGTTTATATGTTAATACAATTGTCTGTTTATTTTAGCATATCATGTTTCTTCTGTTTAAAATGTTGTATTTATATTATTTTATGAATTTGATGGTATGAATAACATTCTTAGTTTTCCTTGAAACCAGTATGAGTTTAATTAAATGTTTTCAATATTGGTTGGGAAATTTTAGCTTTATTGCTATCTAAAAATATGATCATCCCCACTATGCCAAGAATATGGCACAATAATATTTTTACCAGGTAAATAAAAAGTTTGGTTAATTATAAAGCTGATGAGCACCATCTAGGGCCCCAAAATTCTTTCAGATTTCTCCATTAACTCTGCTAGACACAGATTTTTATGTCTTAAAATATTAATTCCTATATGGTACATTACCTCTGCTCACATGTATAGCTATTCTTGTTCACTGCTACCTCTATGCACAAAAATGTTTTCCCATGTCACAAGCCTTGAGCTCCCATGTACCTCACGATCAATGTGGTTCAATTGCTTCTTGCATGTAAATCATGTGACAACCTTCCACCAATAGGAGTGCAACACACCCTCCTGATGCATGTGTCTATTACTTCTCATTAGGCAGTGATCGAGTGCAGACGTTTTCCACTTGTGCTCTTTTCACATTCATTTTATTTTTGTTGCAAAGTAGTGATTTCCTTGAATTATTATTTAGCTACAGATAGTTCTTTCTGTAGTAGTTTGTCATGATAACTTACCTTTGTTTATTGATTTTTTCTTCTCATTTTGACTTCTTCACGGTTTAAAATGAATTCAAAAGTTTGTGTTTTACACCTTCTGATATTATTACCACTACTTTGAGTGTCATTACGAGCATCAGGTCTGAGGATATTTCAGCTATCATTCATTGGGAATTTGATACCTGTCATTTTTGCCTATTGTATTTCTGTGCATCTAAACTGTTGAAATGGGTGCTGGAAATCATTGTCTTCATACATTAGATGAATTATGGAAAGCAGCCCAGGAAGAGTGGTGTGCTTTGGACCAGACAACTTTATGATCAAGACTTTTGCAATGGAAACTACACTGTGGGACTATTTTAAAAATACATGGTGAGAGATAGACCATGACAGGAGGTGATGACATGAACTGTAACAGTACAGTAAGGCACCAAAATAGGCACTGGAAAACCATTATTCTTGAGCAATAGATGGATTATGGAAAGCATGCAGGGAAGGGCAGTATGCTCTGAATATGACAGTGTTATGACAGCTTTTTTTCCAATGGAAACTATGCTACAAAACTATTATCAAGACATGGTTGTCAGACAAAGCATGACTGGGCATGGCAACAAGAATTATAACAACGTGATGAGGGTCCAAAATCATTTTCTTATAGTGTGCCTAACTTCTATACAACTTGAATTTAATGTGAAATAAGTGCACATTTTTAACATAACTGTTTATATTGTTTTTATAGTTTCTAGTCAAAAGACAGTGAAAATTTGAATTTTCTGTAACTTTGTCTTTTTTTCTCACATTTATCAAATATATATTGAATATGTTTCATCTTGGCAGTATATATAACCTGCATCATGCTGTACTATACATTCTTACCCTTTTAGGGCACATCATTTTTAACTTTCTTCATTTCATAGTGATGTAAAATGTCTGCATATCTTATTCAATATCTCTTTTTTACAGATGGGCATGAAAATGAAGCATTTGGAATCAGGACAATAGCTAACAACACAGGAGAAATATTCACCAAGAAACAAATAGATAGAGAAGAAAATGATCACTACAGTTTGACTGTTAAAGTTGGGAAGTTTTCACCATCCTCTATTCAGCATGTTTCTAAGCCTTATGACCCAAGTGATCTTACAGAGATTCAAGTATATATAAATATAATTGACATTGATGATAATCCTCCAATATTTGAGAAAACTAATAATGTTCTTGGTGAGTTTTTAAACAATTTCTTCTTGAAAAGTCTTACTTGAGAGGATATAACCCATAAAAATTCGTGACATACCAAGTGTAAAAAAATATAAAAGCAGATACATGGAATAATTTAAGAATGCACTTGTTAAAATTATTTATAAATAGAAGAATAGTATTGTATAACAATGAAAGACAAAGTCCTGAAATGGACATGCACCTTATGAACTAATTTAGATTTCCACTCATAAATGGAAAAAAATGGATCATTAGTCTTCATGTTTCTGTAAGCTTTGAATCAGAATAATACATGGAGAACTGCTGTCACCATGTCTCTCAACTTCGGGCATGATTTTTCTTGTTTAATTTTTTTTTAACACAAATGTATACTAAGAAATGGCACAGAGCTTTATATGCATTTATTTAAACATAATGATGTAAATTTAAATGACACTAAATCTTTTCTTTCAACTTTTGTCCACTTCCACTATGTCTTCTTAAAAAAAAGATTACTTTTGGAAAAAAAAACCCAGTGACACAGCAGTATGTCTGCAGACTTACAATGCAAGAATCTGGGTTTCGATACCCGTGGTGGGCAGAGCACAGACAGCCCATTGTGCAGCTTTGTGCTTAATTACAAACAAACAAACTTTTGGAAAATACAAATCAGTATTTGATCTGATCTTTCAATTCCAAAACATTTCTACCAAATTTGGTGTAAGTATAAGCCATTTTGCAGAATAATTTTATTCTATAGTCAAGGAACTTGATGTACACAAATTTAATTTTCATCAAAAAAATATTTTTTTCCTTGGGATAGTACTTAGAGCTTTAATCAGTTTTGACCAAAATTCGTCAATTATATATATATATATTTTTTGGGGGGGGGATAAAATTTGCCTCAAGTAAAATATCAGCCAAGCATGAAAAGTTCTGTGTTTGACAGTAGTAACACAAAAGTTATATAGGGTAGTATTAATTGATGCAGTACTTCCCACATTTTTGACCATGAATAGCATCTAACTAAAATATTCTAAGAGTATTATAAATAGTTTAACATTAACAGTAATGTTAACCCTTTTGCTGCATTGTGCCATGGAGCCTATGCCATGACATGTACATAGGTGTGTATTGTGCTTTAGAATCTACACCATGTACTAACCTTCTTTCCCTATGTTCTCACACTGATATATTTGCTTTGGTTATGTATATAATGCATTCCAGGGGATCCACAAATGTTCTAGATTATATGTGATGCAGATCATGTAAAAAAAAAGTCAATGAGTCTACCACATGTCTTCAGCAGAATAATTTGATTTCACAAAAATTTTGAGATAAATCCTAGAGCTTCTCGACATTTAATACTTTTACTTTTGCATCTAATATTACTGTTTAGCCATGATAAATGTAGAAAGAAAACAATATCAACTATGTTTTCACTTGTACAAGAATTCTCCTTCCCTATCATCCAAGACAAACCAAAAAAATCATTTAAACAACATTTTTAAGCCTACTGCTCACAGCTACCTATTTTATTCCTCTTGATATATGAAAACAAGATCTACACTTTACAAGTATCCAGTATCCACAACTTATATGAGATAAAACTTAGAGCTTCTCAATTATTTACTGCCGAACACAACAAAAAGATGAATGAAAATGATTTCACAGAACAAAGTGTTATACCATGAAATTACAAACAGACTATTATAGTGGATTTGAAAGTATATAATGTAAACAAAATTACCAAAAAATGTTCCTTAAGGGTAAAAACACTGATGTTACAATGAAGGTTTAATCTCTTAAGTGTTTTATCTTTTAGTTGGTTTATAGTTTGATGTGAACAAAATACTCATTTGTTTTATACACTTTCATTATTTTTTCAAAAGGTATTCGAGTCAACACTGCAGTAGATACTCAGCTGCTGACCCTGTCGGCTACTGACCCAGATATCACTTCAGGATTGATAACCTACAGTATAACCAATATTACATTCTACAGAGTAAGTTAATATCATCTTTGTATAACTAAAAATAACATACTTTATTGACCAGTCATATTCTAAAGAGTGTAAAAATGTATGTTCAGCATCTGAATGAATATCTGAAATAGACATTGCCTTTTCATTATGTATATAATCTAAATATTCACATGTAGGAAATAAACTAAAATGTTGAAACCTGTATCTACAAATTCAAATTGATCTGTTGAAAGATTTATTTATGTATTTATCATATGCTTTAGTGTCAATGTATATGTTGAGGAAATATGTTCACCATGCAAAAGAACCAATGCTACAGATGGTCAGTTCACAAATTGATCAGCACTTAACAGGTTATCTAAATTAGTGTAAGTGACCTCACTTTTATCTGTTATACCACCTAACATCAAATACAACACAGTGAAATATAATTAAACCAAGTTTTGATTTGTAGATGTAAGATTCCTTGAAGATGTGGAAACGATTGCCTGTTGTTTATCAAATGATTCAGAGATATAATTGTTCAAGTAGGCTTATTGTTATAGAGCAAGGAAAAAAAAGTGCTCTTTAATCACAGTATTGTCAGGATTAGAAGTTCAGTAACTATGTAGCTCCCTGATAAAAAAAAAAAAAACAATAGTTGATGAAAGGCTGATGATATTTGTAGTCACTGATGATTAGATTTAGATCCAGTTGTTGCTACTTAAAGCTAGTAATAAATTTTGATTTACTCTTCTGCATGCCTTCTAGATGGACAGACCAAATGCTTCAATTTTTGTACTTCAATTCTTGATGCATGCTTTATTGTTATGTCTTTAAAATATGCTTTTCAAATGTGGTTATGAAGTTTAGAGTGTTTTAAGGACTAGTAATGACCACTGGCTTATCTTAGTAACTTATACTAACTTATCTCTGAATATGTAACTTAAGAATAAGCATTTTTGGATGTAGCTGGATTAGAAGTAATGAATTTTGTAAATCAATGTATGTTTCAAAATTACTTCGTTCGCTCTAATAATATGCATGTGTCAGAAGAACTTAAACTGCTTAATGATTGACCACAACTTTTAATAGGAAACAATTATTCCATGGTCTAAAGTGTACTGTAGACTTAATATTAAATACTGAACAATATGGGTAGAAGCTTAAGCTGAAAGCTCAAAAATAATGCATGTCGGAACATCTGTGCCATCTTTGTACAGTTTTAAAGAAAAGTAGAAATATATGCATTACCAGACTACAAAAGAAAATTTAAGTAAACCCTAAATGAATCATTGAGGGGAATTTATGGCCAGTTTTGGAATTAGGATATTGGTAACAAGAATTATCTGCATCATATGAGCATCAACAAAAGAACAGAAGTAGCTCAATACAAAAAAGCTTTTTTTCGTAGGCTAAACCATCTTGATCACAAAAATAAATTCTGTAACTATTACATACAGTCCTATAGCCTGTATAGTTTTGGATTTTGAATTGAGGAATGTAATCATATTAAAATTCACCAACTTCAGCTTTAAACCTCTCGCTACAGGTCTTCCTATGGTTAGGGGTCAAAGGGCATGTCATCACATTTGTAGAATTACATTCAAAATTTTTTGAACTACTATTTTATGTCTTTCGATGCATTTGGTATGAAATTGTGGATTATAATTCCAATTTTAATATTATACATTAGTTAATTTTTAATTTAAAAGTAAATATAAAAAAAATCCTAAATATCAATTTTTGTATGTCATGTGATATGTTCAATGCAGATTTGGTTAAAATTTTATGTTTGTGATGTCCAAATACAAAGTCTATAGTTTTTTATGAATTAAAAAGTCAAATTACAGATATTGACGAGCTAGAATATAAAATATGTTTGCTGATATATCACTATATTTAGTAAATTAAACACAGTGGCCCCACCCACTTCTTCCATTTTTGGAAATACTTCCTTACATACAGCTGCTTCGCTCTTTCATAGCTTTATGACCAATCAAAAGCTCAGAATTTCCCCCATGGGTTTTCTAAGGCTCTTGAAAGTGGAAAATTCCCAAATTTTTTTCTTTTTGTCTCGAATTTGAGAAGGAAAGGGTAAGTGACAATATTGTTTGAAATATATTTTTTAGACCCAAATACAGTTTAATTACTAAACCTGATAAATTATAGTGGATTTCTGTGGTATTGGTATAGTAATTTATGATTTTTTTTTGTCATTTCAAAATGCATATATGAAACCTAACAAAACTATTTTGTTTTACATCCTACACATGCAAAATTTAACAAGGCCTAGCATATTACAGCAAGCAGCAAATGAGTACAAAGTTCGTAAATAAAAGAGATCATTGTTTATTTTACTTCTTTATTTACTGTACTATATTTTAAGAGAAAAATAACTGAAATTTAAGAATTTATTTGTGAATAGTAATAATAATAATAATATTTATATGTAATGTATTATGACCAAATTGTGATTGTCTTTTACAAAATACTGGTCCACTAGAACAAAGCTAAGGCTGGTCACTTTGTAAAGGTCAGTTTTATACTATTGGATATGGTAACATGAGTGCAAATGTGCCGTGTCATTGCAACTTGTATAATGTTAGTCAGACATGGCTGAAAGGTCAATAAAATAAAAATGATAAGTATATATATGTTTAGAATAAACATTTGTGGTTTTTTATTTATAATTCGTAGTCATTCCAGAATGAAGAAAAGCATAATTTATATCTATTTCCTAATTTTTTATGGTTATGAGGTCAATCAAAGCAATCAAACCCATACAGAGATACAATAGTGAAAATAACAGATAAAATATAAAGTTTTTATAAACAAAATGTTTGATAATTATCTGGAGGTTATTAGAAGGTTATAAAGATTTCACATGTGAAATTTTAACCTTAAAACTACATGTTGGACAGTCAACATTCTAAAAAAAAATGAATGAGCAAATCATTACCTAAAAAATCTTAGAACTTAATAAAAAAATCTGATATTTTGTGCACGAAAGCCTTGTAATGTTTACTGATAAACTGCAAAATTTCGTGAAAATATGAAAACTGTATTAAAAGTTTTATAGTATGAAACTATAACAAGCACAAAATGGTTACGAGGTCAGTCCCTGGTGCATAATAACTTGGATATTCCTAAAACTTTATTATTTGTCTAGTTATAGTCCAATTGTGTGTATACTAAATTAAATGTTTATTCAACTGTATTATTGAAACAACTAACTGATCTGCTTAGTATATAATATCCAACAAGAGTTATCATAACTATGAAAAGTATTTGAAACAATTCAGATTTTATATTTAAATCAATTTTCTTATTATCTAGTTATGAACCACTGATGTAAGTGAAAATGATTATTTAAAAATAACTGAGGTAGGATACAAAATGGAATGATTACAAATATTGGAAATAGTAAAGAGAAGTTAATAACATGGTTAATAATTGTGATAAAATTTTTGATTTTTTAGTTATAAATTAAACTAAACATTCTGATTTGTAACTCAAAAATGAAGCTGTGATAATGTGAATTTTAAACGAAGCAGTCAGCCAAATTTGTAGGTATAAAATTGCTATTTACATTACATATCTATATACAAGCAAATCTTTTTGTGCCACTTATTTGTGTATCAGTCATATTTTGTACTACCTGTTAAGAAATTTGAGATTATGTGTAATTCATGTCACTCAGTAACTTAATACTGTATATTAACTGATCACATGTATCTAGTTGTGGAAAAGTTAATTAAAGAAGAAAAAAAAAGCTAAAGTTAACTTGTATATATATAAATTCTATAAAATAAAAATTATATACTTATCAAATGTTTTGCTTCTAGCATACCTTTGTTTTCTTTCTGTGTTTATTTCTTACATTATGTTTTTTGCAAGTATTAGATCTTGCACTGCATTTAATCCTTTTTAGTTTCTTTTTGTTTTTTCATCAAGTGATTTTCATTTCTACTCTTAATATTTATATTGTAAATTTAGCCTTCCACACAAGAGAAAGTAAGAACAAGTGGAATTTTTGATATTGACCCAAGATCTGGTGTCCTGAGCAGTAGGCAAGCTTTTGGCCAGTATGTTAGTGGATACTTTGTGTTAGTGGTAGAAGCTCGTAGCTCACCTGGTAGCAAAAATGTTGCCTATGCTGAAATTAGGGTAAATACATTGTATTTCTTATCTTGTAATTAAACTTTTAATATTTCCATAACTGATATAGATCTGAATACAGTTTTATATATCTATCTCAAATTATTAACAGTTTCAGCAACAGTTATTAGACTCATGACTACACGTTGTCCTATCTTCCATTTTTGCTTGACATAAAAATACTTTTATTATAAATCTTATCCACGTATATTTAAAAAGTTTTGTATTATTTACATGTTAGTGCTGTTTTGTTAAAGAATGAATAATGTTATTGTTTTCTACTGCAGATTTATGTTTTACATGACAGAGATCTACTCAAGTTTGTCTTCTACAAACGACCAAATGAAGTCCAAAATATAATACCCAACCTGCAGAAGTAAGTACTAGATAAATAAACATTGGTATTACTGATAAATTTTTTAATGACTATTACAGTAATGGGCTGATGATGGCCCAATGGTTAGCATGCCAAACTATAGATTTCATGTTCCTTGGTTCATGCCTTGTTACCATTAAAAAAAACATGTTTTGTGCTTTGGTACCACAGGTGCATTAGAAGACTGACAGTCAAATCTCACTATTCAGTCTGACAAGAGCAGACCAAGAATTAATGTTGGTTGGGGTTGATTAGCTGTCTTACTTCTAATCTGTCTCTTCAATGATAGTGACAGCTAGTACAGACAGCCCTCATTTAACTTTGTGCAAAATTCAACAAATTGTGACAACAATGAAAAAAAAGTTCCATAAATTATTATGCTTTTTTTTATAATTAATGTGATAATTAATTCTTCTCAGTGCCAGAAAATAAATAAAATTGTGTACGGTAATATTTTTCAAGTGTTAGTTTTATGTACCATTATCATGTTAAACTTGATTATATCTTGAACTAGTTCATCAGAAATTTTGACATATCGAACTTTTGTAATGAGATATGGGTCTAATATGCTCTTTCCATTCAAATGGTCATTGCAAAATTTAGTTTTTTTCTAACTGCCTCTTCAATACTAAGAATTAAAACAGTTTTATTTTCTTACTTTGGAGTATAAATATAGTGTCATGTTTAATAAGTTTCATTCTTTATTTTGAAGTTTCATGTCATGTTTCTTTGATCATTTATCGTAAGCAACTTGCCAGATGGATAAATAAGTACAGAAACCAAAACATACACACATCATCATAAAAAATAAATAATCATATCATGAAGTTCTAAGTTGAGTGGTTCCTTTGTTTTTTGTCCTTAAATGTTATTAGAGCAACATAACAGAATAATAATTGAGCATATAGATCAGATTATAAAAGTATTCCAAATTATAGTCATTTGTGGACATACAAGTTTTATTATTTCTTAAAACCTATAGTAATGAATGCAAAATTTCAAGTAATTTTGTAAAAATATTGAAGCCAAGGCTTTTAAGTGGTGCACACTGTCTGAATTTGTTTTTTGTCATATATCATAAACTCTATATATAAGTGCTGTAAAAAGTTTTTCTTTAATATGATATAAAATTATATTACTTTCTTTTATTTCTACATTATTTCATGAAACATTTTCAAACTGACTGAAACATCTTGTTATAGTGATACATTTTGTATCAGTGAAATTAAGACTGCAAATAGCTGCTTCAAAGCACAGTGAGTCATGGAATTAGTTCTCTAGTAATGTATGTAGTTAAGAATTGAATTAATGTTCTTTAAAAGCATAAGTTAATTTCACTATAGCATTTGATACATAATCACAAGAATCCTATTCATTAAAGGTTTTGAAGTTGAGGACTTTTTATTTGTAGAGATCTACAAGTAGCTCTGGCACAACCTGTTAGTCTCAATATATATGACACACAGTTTTACAGCAGAGGAGATGGAAGTCTGGACTTTGAGAGGTTAGGCATTTTCTAAAAAAGTTACATATTTTTACTCATAGTAATTATAAATCTTTTAAACTGTAAATCTTATCAAGATAAAAAAAACAATAACAAATGTGTAGACAAATTCTAGAGATTGTGGAGTGCATGGCTGTCTGGAATAAAATTGTCTGTTCTACTTTTACCTTCTTTGTTTCTGATCATATTAGTATTTGTCTCTGTATCATAGAAGAAACCGTTAAGGAGAACTATAGCCTGCCTATTTGATTATGAATTTGATAACCTCCATTTCTCATCTGCAGAAATGCCAAAATTGGAAAGTTTGCCTGTCCATGCAATTGTTCTTTTCTGCATTTTCATTTACAGTTTTTTTGTTTGAAATAATGATTTTTATAAAAGTATTCTTGTCTCACAGTGTATTAAGTAAATGCAGATGATTGAAAAAAACCTTTGACTTTGATTATTTTACTATTGGGTAAAATACATGTCATGATGTGAGAAAGACAGACAATTTAAAATGATTTGAGGTGTTGAGACATACTTAAGAAACTATGGTGCTCAAACAATGCGTAACTGAAATTAAAAGTGAAGTTTCTTAAACTTTAGGTTGTCGAAAAACTTTAAACAAGGACATAAGTAAACAATAAACTGACATTGTGTTTAATGTAGGTGTTTCCTGTTTACTAAAACAGTACAGAAGTAAATGTATGACAGCTTTAAATACCACAATGTTTTCAAACACTTATAAACAAACTTATTGAAAGGTAATATTTTCTTCAGATGTAAAGTCATAATTCTTTCAGAAACATGTGAAACAGGTTTCCACTCAGGGCTGTAACCAGCTTTGAGGATACTGAAGTCATACCTTAAGTTGTTTTTTGGCTTCCTTCACTCACTTATGTAGACACACACACACACACAGGTAATTGGAAATTATAGCTTGAAACCCATGTTTTCCCTGGTTGAATATTGGCTATGGCCATGGTGGCGTATCCATTATAACATATTTTTTTATTAACTAAACTCTTTTTTTTTTCCCTGGTTATCTTCTTTTAGACAGAAACATGCTAATAAATAAATTAAAAATAAAATGAGTTGTTAAAAAGGTGCTTTACTAATAACAATTAGTAGGTTAACTTTTTTAGCTCAACTGGTAGAGCACTAACCAGCATGTTAAAAGTCCTGGGTTCAGTTTATTCACATGAAATGCAAAAACTGAATTTTTACAGGTGAAACTGTTCAGAGTTTATGTATTTTGTTTGTCCTTTTAGTTTCGTATTTCTGTATGAACTTGGATATTTTCAATGACAATGGAAGTTTAAATTAGCACATAAATAGGGAAATCTTCTATAAAAGGAAATAGAAGTAGCTTTTAGTGAGGAAATGTTGTTTTCAGGGAGATTGGATTTTCATATGAACAAATAATTTACACTGGTATGGCATAACTGGACTGAAATAGGAATGTGTTTTTCTTGGCACATAGAAGTGGTAATCTTCAATACTCATTTTATTTGTATCAATATATGACATTGCAAATAAAGCCAGTATAAAAATACAAATTCTTATATAAATTACTGGCCAAATATATGAAATAATATTCTATTTTATATTGCTTTTGTATTCAACTTGTTACATATACCATGAGTAATTTTGTGCACTGAAAGTGAGGATGATTGTATCAAATATTCTTCATGTATGATTAATATTTTTAAAAAGGTTCACTGTTTATTTTCCTTTAATACTAGAAATTTATATGTCTTATAACTAGAAATTTCAGCACATTTCTATATGTTAGTTTTTCTACAGAAAAAATATTTATTGTGCTTTTATTGATTATTTATTGAAAATTCCTTGTACTAAGTGACCTTTATGCCAAAACATTCTGTATTTTTCATATATACAGCACCAGCTCATGTTTCCAGCTGCTGGAAGATAATGCTATACTTGATCCAGACAAAGTACTCAGAATCCTTGATAGGAAAACCTCAAGCATTGAAGACTTGTATAAAAACTACAGTATTATAGCAGTAGAGGTGAATAGATTATTTTGTAGTCTTCACAATTCTAAAACTTTAATTGATAACTTTTTCTTTGACAAAAAAAATCTTGGTGAAATAATGTGGGAGGATAATCAGCATTTTCAAAACAAAACATGGTTATATTGGCATCTTGACTGAAAAAAATAACATGGTGTTATATATTTTACTTGATAGGAAAGCTTATACCTAGTGATACTTAGCTTGTTTTCTTTACAGTTTGTTGCTTTCAACACAGCCTTGTTTTTAAAACAGTATGGTCTTAACTGTTGTATTCATGTTAAATAAGTGGCACAGAATTTCATTGTATGTTTTTCTACAAGTTTTCACTCTATATGAGGATAACACTGATAAATACTTGTGCTTTTCTCTCTTACTTTAAGCTTGAAAGAAAATGTGTACTTTTAGTACAAACATAAGATAATTATACATTGTACAAAATAATTTTCATTATTTTTTGTCATTTTCACTGGAAACTTAAATAGTGTATAAAATAATTCAAACTATTTTAAACAATGTAAAATTAAGTTTAAATCATGATACTTGTAAATTATAGAAGGAATATTACAAAGGTTATCGTTAAAAGTGAAAAAAGATATCCATACTGCACATGAGATCATACAGTAGTCTTTCACAATATTTTATGTAGTCCTTAGAATACATAAAAATTGATGTTCTACCACACCAATTGTTTTAATTATAGGTACTTGTGATCAAGAAGTTAATTATTATTTTTTAATATTTTACTACCAGTGAATGTTCACATAAAGGTAGTGGAAGATCACTGATTCCAGAATCAAAGTCAATACTATAGGAATGATGAGTATATAGATTATGAATCTAAAAGGTGTCTTTCATCTCTCTTTTTCTACCTACTTTAGATTTGAACTGAATTTTGATTCTTGAGAAACCAATTTTACTGACACAATGGTTAGGCTGGTTGAAATGTTGGACTGCAGGGATGTTATGGTTAACCTCATCGAAATGTTCTCTAAATACTCAATATTTGATGACGAGGAACCCACTTTGAGACTAATAATGGCTGGAGACGGCTTGAATGGGTAATGAAGAATATACTGTATATATATATCCGTGTCAGTGTAAATTACTTGTACCTGATGATGACAAAACCTTGTCGAAACATTGTACATTTGCTATTATGTTAAACTTATATTAAAGTTTTTCTTCATTACCCATTCAAGCAGTCTCCAGCCATTATTAAATACTGAATATGTCCAGCATACTCATTGTGATTTTATGCTGTTTCAAAATGAAATAAGTTTTGATGTATTGTGTATGTAATTTCTTTGGTAATATTAGTAATTTTGAAATTGACTGTCATGGAAATTGTCAGTAATTTCTATGAACTTGTTTTTACAGTGTTACCTTAGGATGGTACCTTATTCTGTTGCAAAGTGCAGATAACTTTTGCATGAATTTGGGTATTTCTGAAGTTTTTATTCTTTTAAAAGGAAGCAGTAGAAGTTTGAAGAATGATTTGTTTTAAACAACTGTAAAGTTGGAGGTAGCATGTCAAATGTTTTGTGAGAAAACACTGTGCTGTTGAGTTTGGGACGTTGTGTAACCAGGAAAGTGGTAGCACTGCCTATGTAGGATGGCTCGGATTGTTCATCAAAATGTTATTTTACATATATCCTCAATAGGTCATCAGAGTTTTACAACATCATACAGTGTTTCCTTTTATAACAATATCTATGTAATGACTGAGGCACAAGTCCTGGGAATGTCTGTAAATATCACAGCAAAACGTTTGAATTTCTCGTTATTCTTTATTTTGCTTCTTTTTTATTACAGGATAACTCAATGATTTAACCAATTTCACTGAGGTGACATAGTTTCATAAGTATCATTAACTAGTAGTAATTAAAAAGAAATCATAATTCTAGTTTAATCAATGTTATCATTATTCCTTGAAGTTAGCTTTCTTACAGAAATTTGGTGTTCCTTTAAAAAGCTTAAGTACAGGGTGTAACAAGAATTACTAGCCAATAATAGGTAAACAATAAATATTACAGTTGGGACCTCATTGTATTTATAATTTGGTTATAAATTTAACCTTCCCATGTCTATTGAAACACTGCATTGAAAAACTTTTCAAAAAAAAAAGGAAGTAAATGTAGGAATGGCTAATATCAATCCTTCAAAAACAATACAAACAAGATAGTAGAGATGGCATTTGCATCATCTCTACATATTAACACAGGCAAAAATTAACATATAGCAACATATATACACACACATACATACACACACAACTATTCAATCACAACTGAGTTTTGTTTATCCTATTTTTGTCTGTGAACATTATACTATACTGTGTGCCTGTGCTATTATGTAGTGATGATGCATGTGCCATTCCTACTATCTTGTTTGCATTGCTTTTGAAAGTTTTTTTTTGAAAAGTTTTTCTTTACTTGTACTACAGTGAGTTCTGCTTGATTCCTAAGTACTAGATTGTGTAAGAATGATTTTTTTTACTGAGTAACGTTAGCATTTTCAATCTGTCTATAATTTTAGTCTTTGTAGACTCTTTTATTTTGATACCTTAATGGTGATCAGTGAATTGCCTCAGTTTGCTTTTCAAGTTAATAGCAAAAATAAGAATTAAATGTTTGATGTCAAGGAAGCTCTTGTTGGAGAAACTAAAACTAGAATTAATGACGGAAATTAATTTATAAATTAAAATAAATGACATGAGAAGCAGAAGGTAATGGATGAGGCAGTTAAAAGATAAAGTAAGATGAAACCATCTCAAAAGTATATGTTGAAAGGCATGTAATGTGTTTATCTTTCATAAATAACTAATGGTTTATGATTGTTTATATGACTTGTTCTTCACCCTTTCATTTGTTTTAATTTTTATTGAAGAATACTGTCATAATTAGTTTTTATTCTAATTACCCAGACAGTTAGTTTTAGACAATGGTACTAACAATATTTTTGTTGTAGCATTGTCTACCAGGCAAGGCTCCATACAAGATGACCTGGAGTGAAGTCTTTGTCCTCATCATTGCTTCTCTCATCTGTGTTGTGGCTTTTCTAGTTGCTGTGTTAGTATGCTGTATGTATGCAAGGTAGAAAACAAGTTGGTTCTCTTTTCTCTAAAAAAATTAATTAAGTTTATTAATAAATATATTAAATAATGTTCATCAAAAACGTAGTGAAGAATAATATTATTGTAATTTAAAATGGTCTTCAAAAATAAATAGAAAACACTGCATAATAGGAATTGGTATATTTTTGTAAAACATTACTTTTAATTTTAGGTATAAGAAGATTGTGCGGAAAGCTCGATATTGTAAGTAATCACCTCTTCGTTGGCATAATATTATTCTTGTTTCAAAGGATGAAATCTGTTGTTACACAGACTTGATTTTATTAAGTTATTCTCATCTGTGGAGTTAAAGAGAAGTTAATGGTTTTCATCCCCACAACAGAAGTTAAAAATATTAATATAAAAGTAATTCATAAAATAATAGTATAATAAATGAATAAGTCAGTTGAAAACTAAATATTCTGTAATGTTATAATAAGTTATTTTACCAGTTTAATGTTGAAAATATTTATTTAATGTTTTTTCTTTCAAGTAGACATGAAACCCACTGTAGAACTTTTAATCTTCTTTGGTTAATATTTAATTTTTAATGCTACATAATTCACATTGGATATTCAAGTTCACTAAGCTGTTAAATTGTTAAATTACATATTTTAAAATATTAGTATTGCACTTTTCCTATAATTAGCATTTTTTATTTCAGATAACCAGATTTCAGTACCAGTGCAAGGGTAAGAAATCTCATTATTTATGAAAATTATTTTTTATTATTTTAGTAAATGTTCTGAAAGTAAAATAGTTAATAAAGACTATAGTATCTGTATGTTTATTTGGTCTCTGTTGATAGGATGCTTCTCTGGCTGTGATTCTTATTTTGTATAATCATCATCTATATATTTAGATTATTCTACATATTATCAAATTATCATCAGACTTTTTATTTAAAAACGGTCACAGTTTTACATATACAATTCAACTTTACATGGCAGAAGTATCAAACAGCTTGTAATACTACAAAAGAAATAGAGACAAAAAACAAGGATGTACATTAAAATAATACAATAAAACGGAATGTAAAAAGCAGAAATAAATCCTGAAACACTAGAACAGATGAAAAGTTTCAGTATTCTTCTCAAAATAGATAAATAAAAATTAAACAATAAGCTATGTGGTTATATACAGCATGGTCACAAGTAAATAGACACCACCTTTACAGAAAAAATGAATTGATATATTTATAATTTAATTAATATCTAGTAGATCTTCCTTTCACTTTGTGGAGTTCGTTGATCCTTTGGGGCATCATGAGAATCATCTCGTCAATTTTAGATTGTGGGATTTTCGCCCACTCTTGTTTCAAAACTTGGAGTAGATCGCTCTTTGAAGTTGGTTTTTTTGGTTGTTTCTTGACTTGCCAGCTGAGTATGGCCCAGAGGTTTACGATGGGGTTCATGTCAGGAGATTGGCTCGGCCAGGGCAACTTCTGGATATCATTTTCTTCCTGCCACATTTGGGTGTTTCTAGCAGGTGACACGGTGCTCCATCTTCTTGGAACAACGTTGTGTTCTTGTTCACGAAACCCAAGGAATAAAGTGGCAAGAGTCCTTCCTCCAATATTTCGACGTATTTCGCAAAATTTATGTTGCCAACGCACTTCACTAAGCTCGATCTCCCACCAACTCAAACAACTCCCCAAACTATCACGCTGAAACCACCATGCTTCACAGTTGGCTGCAATCTGTTGAGCCAAAACTCTTGGTGAGGCATTCTCCAGACCCATATCCTTCCACTGTCTGAAAATTGAGCAAATCTTGATTCGTCTGAGAACAATACAGTCTTCCAAAAGTCCAGTGGCTTGGTCATCATATCACTTGCTCACTTCTTTCGTCTGACTGTGTTGGCAGGTCTTAATAAGGGCTTCCGTCTAGCTGCTCTGCAATGTCTGGGTCCTCCTGGTCCATCGGAGAGGACAAAAAGAGCTGTCAAGAGGATCATCGAAATGGCTCCCAGATTAACGACTGCAGAAGTGCCCAAAGTTGGTGGGATGAGCCCAAAATCTGTTCAACAGATTCTCCACAGATTGGGTTATCATTTTTGTCCTCTCTGATGGACCAGGACGACCCGGACGCTGCTCAGTTGTTTCCTTGCCGCAACAGAATCATCGTGCAGTTCGGGAAACAAAATCCCGCTTTCGACAGTCCCAAATTCTGCAAAATTTGTCGCTGCCTTATTCCACCATCTGCTTGATCAACTATCCTTCCTCTGACAAAATCTTACAATTCAAGAGAACCTTGAGTTCTATGCATGTTGTAGCACAAGATAATTAGTGTGCGGACCA